TGTTTTTAACAGATATATATCATTTACTTATAATATCTTAATAATATTAATAATATTATTAAATTATATAAGATCGGAAAATTAAAAAGAATTTATACCACTATAAAGCGTTGATTCAAACTTTACTAAAGTGTATGAAAATCATGAAAAGTGATATCGACTTTCAACGTAGGATTTAATGTTGAATATTAAATCCTACATTGGATAGACATTAGGTTCATCCGCGTAATAGACTTAGAAGTGGAGAAGTAAAGCCGAGGCTTTAAGAACTGGTAGTTTGAGACATGAATATATGATGAAAGAAATCTAAGAGAGGAATTACTCGGCAAAAGCGGAAATCCTCACAGCTTAAATGGGTTTATGTCGGTCGTACCTGCAGTGATATATTGCACCATGTGCAACGCTTAATGCATCATCTTGCATGCACGTATTATCTTGCAGGATAACTGCTGTGCGATAATGAAATTAAATCACCCAATTATATTTAATATTAGTTGTACATTATTGGCGAAACATTGGATAACAATGTGCAGCCGATATTAAACATTGGATAAAAATCGAATCCCCAATAATATGGGTTGAACTAATATTGGCTAAATATATGATTAAGACGTCTACCGACGTCTTAGACGACTATTGAATGAATATTAGGGTTTCAATTCTTATCCAATGTTTAATATTGGCTACACATTGTTTTACAATATCGTAATACCGAATACACGCGCACACATACACACAGTTTGTACTACTAGGTTATAGTAACAATTTGGTAATAACGTTGCGAGAATTTTTTATGGGGCCGTACGACAATACCAGAATTTAAAAAGTCAGTCGCTATTTGTAATGGATTGGAAGTCACTTGTTACTGAAAAGAGTAACTCGTTATTCGTAATGAGTCACTTTTACTCATTACTTGTAACGTACAAATTAACGTGTTGATGGGTTATATAAGCACAAATTATTTCTTTTTCCAGTAAATAACGCATAATGATGGTAGGTTATTTTTGAAAGTAATGTTGTTTCTTCAATCTTAGGCGTTTAGTTCATTATCATTACAATCATGCAAATTGCAACGTTATTATCAAATCGTTATTATAAAAAATATTATAGTAGTAAAAGATATAGTAATAAAAGTAACGGTGTAACTGTACGGCTTCTATTCCTTGTTATCAAGTTACAAATATGTGGTCGATAAATATAAAAGTAATCTTATAAATATATCACTTGGATACAATTTTTATTGAAAGGTAAATATTTTTACATTTGACATTAATATTTACTTACAATTCTGAATACTCTGATTAAACTATTTTGATTAAACTGTGGACTGATTGAGCATTCATCAATATTATATTATGTGTGTGTGTGATAATGTAATATCCAAGTATACAGAATATCAATATCGTGTAGGTATATGAGTATATAAAGAAAGAAGACATTTCTCTAAGGGCACCTTTCCGAATCAACGTGACATTTCGAAGTCTTCGCAGATATAACAAGCGAGATGGACAAAACAATATATATCTATATTTCAGCAGAAATATTTGTTCCTTTTCCTTTCTACATTCAACCGAGTCTCTTACATGTTCCTGTTTCAAAGTGTCCATCTTATACTTCGCCCTCGGTTCAGCACAATGAAAGGAGCGCGAGGTGCAGGGGAACGCGAGGTAGAATCACGAAGTCACGAGAGTGAAGAAGTATATACAACAGTGAACGCGCCGAGAGACGGAGGGAGCCGAGCAGATGGGTACGATGAAGAGAGAAGTAGAGAAGAGGGTGTATGTCGGAAAAAGATAGAAAAAGACGGAGCCGTCCGTTCCAGGCAACTCGGCCGCGTCGGTCGACATCGGAGCTCAGTATGCCGTGCAGCGCGCAGGCTCGCGTACACGTATTATCCTTTTCTCTCACCCCGTTACGTTACCGCGCGCGCGGCGGCTCTCCTCTCTTTCTCTCTTCCCTCCCGTCTCGCGCGCGCACACCGTCGTCCGGCACGCACGCTCCGTATTACCTCGCGTACGTACGTATAAACACGTAGCCTACGCACGGCGAATATACATACGTGCGTACGTGCGTGCGTGCGTGCGTGCGTGCGTGCGCGCGCGTGCATCAGCAATACGCAAGTACAAATATTTCGCGGGCAAGCGTTTTTTTTTTCTCTTAACGCGCGTTTCGCGCGACCTACCTTTTCCTGCGCGCGCTCTCTACGCCGCTCTTGCGTATCCGCGAGTGCGTTGATATATATATGTGTTGTACGTGCACGTGATTTCTTTTTTTTTTTTTTTATGCATGACTATACTACTCGCGCACAGCGGCAGACAGGTACGTGGAGGACACGTCGTGGTCGGCCGTCCCGCCGCGCACCGAGTTGACTATAACGGAGTGCTCGCGGGTGCTCGCGAGTGCCGCACCGCCGCGAAACACGGGCGCAGGTGACGCGCGCGAAGAAGACACGTATATGGTACCGTCTTCTTGTCTCTCTGTTGGAAAGAAGAATTACATATCTCTCTCGATGCGTCAGGGCGACGTCTGCGCACGACAACGGCTCCGAGTCGCGTGACCCACATACACGCGACGGTGACACGGTGACACACGGGCGAAAGTGATTGAACCGATACGAATGGGTGCGCGCACAAGTGTCGCGGGTTTATCGCAGGAAAGAGCGGGAAAGTCAAGCGGTATTGAATTCGGCCCGTTCGAGTAACAGGGTGTTAACACCTAGTCCTACGGAGCGTAGGAAGAAAGGAACGCGCGTGCGAACGTACGAACGAACGTGAATGCGATCGGTGGCGGTTGCGAAACTCCTTAGGCCTGAGATGTGGCACAAAATGAAGCGAGCGTATCCGCAAGCGATCGATAACTATAGCGGCACTATAGTCGACTCGGTGAATAGCAAGCGGCCTGTGCTACCAGCCAATCCAACCTAACGGACAAACGCGTGACCTCCAGGAGCGGCGTGACGAGTAGGGTGGATAGGTAATACACCGACGATCCCGACTCGCTCAACAACGGCGATCATGTAGAATTGTGGAGAGAAAGTCGCGTGACGTTTTTGTAGTACATTGGAAGAAACAGGATCGCAAGAAAACGCAGGTATAAAACGAAAGGGAGAGAAGAGAGAGAGAGAGAGAGAGAGAGAGAGAGAGAGAGAGAGAGAGAGAGAGAGAGAGAAGAAGACACAACGCGAGGAAAAACATGCGTTGAAGACGAGATGCGAGCGGAAGGAAATTTGATAATGAAACGTCGTTAATGACGCGACGGTGATCGACAGAAATCGATCGTCGTCCAACGATCGATCTAGCGCGCATCGCGCGCGCGATCCGGTATCTCCGTTCCCCTTCTATACGGAACGTTCGAAGCAGAACGCGGAGAGAAAAATCGTGGAGGAGAGAGACAAGCGAGGGAAGGTAGAACGGAAGAAGGGCAAGAGAAAAGGAGAGCGAGAGACAAAGAGGGAAAGGACGAAGGAGGAGAAACGGAGATAGAACGGAGTTGGGAAAGAAGGAGAAAGAGAGAGAAACGGAGATAGAAAGGAATAGAGAGAGAGAGAGAGAGAGAGAGAGAGAGAGAGAGAGAGAGAGAGAGAGAGAGAAGAAAGAGAAGGAGGATATCTTATTTTTAGCAACTCCGCTTTGCACGTCGCAAAAACCGGTTTCACAGAGTCCACACAATCTACGGAGTACGAAGAAAACCGATAGGCTTTCGCCAAGGGTTTTCGAGGGAGGAAGAAATACGTGTTACGCGGATAACAAAACGCGCATACGTTTGTCTCTCTTACAGGAGATACGTAGGGAGAAGAGAAAGGAACAGAGAATATATATATATATATATGCTTATCGGGCACTTTCAGGTGAAAATTCCCCTTGGGTGCACTCCCTGAAGTATTCCAAAAGGTATATGACAACTCCATGAATTATATATAGATATAAAACCAAAATTATAGGTAGAGCATGAAAGATTCGACGAACAAATTCATTGTGATATCTGATTCAAGGCTTTGTGTACGCGCGCGTGTGTGTGTGTGTGTGCGTGCGATATATGTGTGTGAATAAAGAGGAAGACCACAAGGAAACAATGACACGGAACGTGGAATTCGCTTAATTCAATACGCGTGCAGTTCTCCGATGCACCCTGCACCGCACCTTACTCCCTCGAACTTCCAGCTATCCACTACAACCATCGCTGCCGCCCCTTCTCCGGCTACCGGCTTATCGATTGCGTGCGTAGGTACGCAGCAACGCGGTCTCGACACGAGATTCGATTATCGACTGTATTGACGACGACGTACTTTGAGATTGAAGAAGCTAAACTGGTACCTGTCAAAATTGTCGGAATTTACGGATCGAAGTCGAGGACAGACAGGTCCGCGAAAAAATACTATAAGAATGCTTTATGATTGAAGGATCGAAGCTGTATCGTTATCAATGAATGCAGCTCGAGAGGTTTTTCAAGAAAGATAAGTAAAAGTAAGATTGATTGTCGACAAAACTTTTTGATTACTATCGTTTATCCAGGATATGGATGTATTATCGCGCGTACCCCTCTAGTCTATAATTTCTAATAAAACTCGGAAGGAAACAGAATTTATATCGAAAGATAGAATAACAAAGATATTTTATTCCTCAACGACGAATGACGATAAACAATGCTAAGCATTAAATGGGAAATTCGACACTCGTCATTAGTATCGAATCGTGCCGATGCTTGAAACGTTCGATTTCCGATTTCACATTTTATAATATATCGACATACCGATGACGTTATAAATTCATTTGCAATAAATTGATATGACCAAGCTGAGAAACGATTTAACAGAATCATTCGTTGATTTACGCAAATCTCTATGAAAATACCAAAGCCATTGACATCGACGTATAATCAATTTGACAATTCGCGACAACGTAGAGAATCTCTCCGTCGTAGATGTTTCACAAGAACTCTCGTCATCGACATTCGACGTGAAGCCGGGAGGACGTTCTCGAAGAATGCGAACGGCATGAAGAATGGCAACCAATCCTTCAAGCACTCGTCAGGGCGTAAGGGCGATCGCCACGACGACTACCGATCCGCAACGGAGCGAGAAGCGCGCCGTCGCGGCGCGGGGTGCCGCCGGCGCTCTGGCCCTGAGCGTCGTGGCTCTGGTCGTGCAATCGGCGGCCACTGCGACTCCCACCTGGGGATACTTCACCAATCCTGATGGTGAGTCATTGTCCGGCGCGCGTGATCGGTTTTATTAATTAGATCTCGCTTCTCATGATATACGTGACTCATTTCGTGTGGCTATGTAGGCTACTGAGTCTTTTTTCGCGATCTTGGAGCGATCGATCGATCCCGTCGATATTATCAATTTAATTTGTAATGTTATATACACTCCAGCTTTTTTAGTTTAAAACTCTATGTTTCATAAGATCGACGACGAATAAACCGGCAAGCAGTTTGCTTGAACTTGTAAGGATCACCTACATAAAAAGATATTATTAAACACCAATATCCGCGTTGATTGATCCCTTTCAACTTGCTAATCTCTACAAGTGTTTCTGAAATTATCATTTGGCTGTAAAAAATATTACATTGGAGCGCTAAATTTTTAAACTGTGTCAGTGTTGATTGAATTCGTTAATTAAAATCGATCATGCGTGATTCATCTTTCGATTGATGTTTTTTTGATTTATCCGATTTTCGACAGTACTTCTGTCATTCTTCTTGCTAGTTTTTATCCTAAACATTTTCTAAGTTTATATCGGAAAAGAAAGAAACACTGTCTTATTAAATTCAACTAAGGTTTTATAATAACTCTGTAGTAACTTTTTATCATTTCTTTTTATTATAGCTGTAACATTAAAACACTAACATAAGTGAAGAAAGAAAATTAGATTAACACAAATGAGCGAAGAAGGCCATATTCAAAGCGGATATTGATGTTTGATAATATTTTTGTGTGAATCTTACAAGTTCAACTAAAATCTGCTTGCCGATTTATTTGTCGATCTCGAAACATAGTTTTAAACTACAAAAGTTGGAATATATAATATTACAAATTAAATTGATAAACAAAACAATTTAATAATATTAATATTAATGAGCATCTTTAAAATATTGTCAAGAATTTATTACGAAAAATCTCATCTAATATTCGAACTTGGTTTTCCCTATATTCTCTGTGACGGGCATCTTAATTAAAATTAGATCAGCCTCGATGGTCAAATTGGTATGACGCTCGTTCCGGAAAGTTGGAAGTTTTAGGTTCGATCTCTGGCTGAGGTAATATTTTTCGCAGATTTAAGATTCCCATTAACATCTTAATTATTAATACTATTAATAATTATTCGTAGATTTAAGATTCTCATTAACATCTGATTATTAATATTATGTAAAGATGCTTATATTAGCATCAAAAATTATTAAATTGCTCGTCAATTTAATAAGAGATATTACTACTCTGCTTCTGCTCATGATTGCGTTACAAAATCGTAAAAGATTCTAACACGTTGTTTGCAGAATCAGATATTTATGCTATAAATTTACACAGAAATTTTAAGCGCTAAGATTTACTTTGATCAAATGTAAGAATTCTTTTATTTAATTAGATCTATTCTTATTGGTTGTTCAAATTTGTATCACAAAACTATTGTAGATTACTTTTGATGAACATTAGCATATAATAACATTAATATTCTAAAAGCATTTTAATACGCTTTTTGTCATTTCTCTTTTTTGCGAATTATAATGAATTGTTATTTGTGATTAAGGTTATTAGAAAACATATTTCTAATACTTTATCTTACATACCGAGTAATAGAGGAAATGTCACATAAAACTGGATGTCTTGTCTCGCAATATATATGTTCGAGTATTTCTCAGGATGATCAATAATCAGGAATCTCATCTAGACGATGTACTGATTAGAGATGCCAGCACGTAACGGGATTATCAAAGGATGTTGGATATTACGCTCTGTATTGGATTCATTTTTGTACGTGCGTGATAAATGAACAAACGGATATTGAATGTGCAATAACTGTCTACTTAATATCTAGAGGTAGAACATAACGAGATGAAATCGTGCTTCAAATGCAAATTAATTAATGATGTGTATTATCTTTTATTAAAAAAAACCTTTTCTAGAAATTAAAATTGATTACTAGTTATAATAAGTTGAACGAATTGTATTTAAATTTTCAAGATTCTCTTCTTGAAAAATACGTTTGTTTAAAGAAATGCACAATTTACTGTATTGTATAAATACACTTTGTTCTTGTCTTGTAGCAAGAATAATTAATCAACGTAACATATTTATATATCACACACAAAAGTATTTTATTTTCAGTAAGATAAGATTCTTTCGATAAACAAACAAGTTATATAATGAGTAATATTTGAATAATGATAATTGAGAGGATATACCTATTTTTCTTTCAAAGATACTCTGCACAAAAATAACCATGATTTATGATGACATCATTTTCGCGGCACTACGCAATATATACCGATTAACAAGATTAATCAGCTTTTCTTAATTTATTACAGATACAATTTATACTTTTCATTCTTAAACATCTCGAGAAACATTTACGCCATTCCAAAACAGTTCAAGGATGCACAATTATCGCGAGTTATGTTGTTTTTCATGACGAACACCGCGCAACATCGAGAGGATTTCAACGGTTCCGCGTCACAAGTAGAGCGTATTAAACATATTCAAGGAGCCAGAAACATTTCCTTCGTTCATTCATATCAGCTTAGTATAATCAAAACGCGTTTGCAGCGTGATTCTACGGAGTACTAACGGGTTTGACCCAATTTACACCGCACACAGCTCTCTATATATCGAGACAATTAATTCCAGCAACTCATTTTTACAGCTGCGTTACGCGCACTGCTTTTCCTCGTCTACCTTTACCTCTCGCTGACCTGTTTCTCTCTTACCTAATATTGTAGTTACAGCAGCAAATGCTACGGAGATAGTCGCGGCCTTCGATTTGCGGCGTTCTTCTCGAGAATCGCACGTAATTTCTAGTATTTCTATATACTATACGAAGTCCATCTACTCTTTACGCAATCGCGTCAACGCGATGTTTCCTTCATTCTCGTTAACGAGAGCAATTTACCGCTTGCGTGTATACCGCTTCCATTTACTATTACGTATTCCCCATTCCGGAATCGTGTTGATTATTATATTGAAGCTTCAAGTAGACGGGAAATTAATTTCCAACTTTTTTGTGTATATACCTTAGGTAGGAATTAATATCAAAATGTTGTTATGTTTTAATTTACATATTTTTGCCATCATGTATATTATTTATTATCATGTGTATACAACAATACAATTCAAGAAACAAGGTTTTCTAGAAAATAAGTTTGAATGTTTCGAATTATTAAAACGAAGATTAAAATTCCAGAATATTAATTTTTAAATGTGAGTTTTTTTTATATTCCCGTTCTTTTTTTACATGTAATAGTAACAATTTTATTTTTTAATTATGTCGTTATGTAGTAAATGAGCGGTACATGCCTCTTTCTGAATTTTTTTTTACGAATGAACCGTCAATATGTTACATGCAGTATTGTAAGTTAGCGCATGCAAATTTTTTTTACTTATGATGACGATTTCTTTGAGCAATGAAATTTTAAGATAATAAGTAGCTCACACGTGTCACGTATTAAACACGATTAAACAAACGTGCACGTTTCTCGTCTTCGCTCAACACGTCGCGACACTCATTATCCATCATTGCGTATTGCGGTATAGAAGAACGCGATATTTCAAAGAACGTCGACGGAACGGACGTTGCTCAATAATGCGCGGTTTTCTTGTGCTTAATACAACAGCACACGTAATTCCTTGTCGATGGTATCCCGCGTAGGACGCCGCGTATATAACGATGCTTCGCGCGTACCAACTTGTAATCGCACCGATATGACACCTCATTCGCGTGCGATTCACCGTAATAATCATAACGGAATCCGTTGAAATTCGAGCAACGCGCGAAACTAAATAATATACGTTTCCCATACGCATGATTCTCATTAGTTTCCCTCCGCCATTGTCCGCGATTCCCCGTTTCTCCCGTTCCGCGTGTACGCATGCATATCGAAGAGCATCGTGGAAAGAAAAAAATAACACAATATACTTCTTCTCCTCAATGGCTTCCTCCGACCTGGCGCGGGAGAAAAATCCTCGTGGAATAGAGTCTCTCCGTCGCGCCGAGAAATAACACGCTCCCACACTCGTGCTCCCCTCGTTCGATAAACCCGTAGCCATTATACAACCGCGTACGCACACGCGTGCGAGTAACCGTGTTCTATGCGTAGCAGGTGTCTGCTACCATATGACGCTGCCGCTAAATATTGGACACGGATGTGTGTCTATATATATATGGTGTTCCTGAAATAAACTTTACGAACAAACTTTCTCTGCGTCTCAAAAAGTTGTAGAATGGAATCATTTTTTTATCATGTTTTTAAGATGGAAAGAAAAAAGCAATTTACGTTAAGATTAATAATTTTTGTATGAATTGTATTCTTACTAAACCTCACAAATTACAAATATTTACAATTTTTTTAAAGAGAGAATTAATTTTTTAAATCCGCAACAGAATGCGAGTATAATATTTTGTCATTTCTCTCACGAGAGAAAATATACAATGGAGAATATGTTTCTAAAGGGGGAGTAAAATTTTCATGCATGTTTTCTTATATGTTTGAATATGTGCTAAATTATTTTTGAAGTACACATTTACTTCAAACTGATCTAATGGGAACATGTTGCATTAAAAGTGGCATAATTTTCGTCAAAATTCTATCTTCGGTTGTAACTTTCAATATTTTTTAATCAGCTTGGCATGAAATTAACATTTGGAGATGATTCAACACATCAAAAAATTAGAAAGCATAAAAAAGGTTCCATCGTTTTAGTCCAAAATCTGATAATTTTATCCATCCTTTTTTGGCAATCTATTTTAGGAACATTTTATGTACAGTAAATGCAAGTATTCGTACAAGGAAAATTTTGATTAAAAATGCCTCATTTGGAAAATAAACATTAATTAGCAATTTTATTCTCACTCTGTATGGTTATATATGAGATACGGTCATTTGCGTACAAGATATGTCAAGATACAGGTATGTAGATACCTGTGACAAGAGCCCTGCGTTTTACAGGTGGTAGGAATACTGCTACACACACACACACACACGCA